ATAAAGCATATTTTTGCTTTTCTGATCTCATAACAGATTGCAGTTTCCGGCGAAGAACACAAAATGAAAATTTTGCAGATGACCAGTTGCTAAAAGCCATTTTTTGAGAAATACTTCGGTCTTTTAAACATTGCTACTTAACTTTTGTAATGTTTATAAAATTTCAGCCGTTATTAGCGGTCTAATGTTGACCGCAGCCCAAAACTACATTGAAAACCTCGGCCAGGAGTATCTTTTTCTTTTTCCGTGGAACAGCAACTGTCTGCCATCGTCTAAACCAATATTAGAACTAGACTTTATCAATATAAATGAAAAGCAGGAAGTGACCGTAGATATCACTTATTCCAAAGGTGATGGAACTTCGAACAATACACGCTTAGTTATCCCATCAAAGAATGTGACGACCGTAAGTTTCAATGAACAAAATTTTTTTTATTCCTCTATCAATGTCAAATAAGTAAGGACGATAATCTGCAATATAAAAAAAAAGAAATTTTGTTGAAACCTAACAAAAATAGTGTAGAAAAACAGCCTAAAAAGCTTACAAAAACACAGAAATAATTTTTTCAATTATTATAATTCTAGTGAATTGTTTCTGCATTATTTAAGGATACAACATAAAAAAAGACGATCTGCTACTTATATTGTGAGAAAGACAGCTTTTTCAGACATTTTCTGTACTTTTTAAACTATTCTTATTTTTTCTTCAAACTTTTAGCATTCATCATTTTTTTTCACTCTTCTGCTCTAAAAAGTATCACAATGAAATGTCTTATACATTATAATGAAGACATCTGAATTACAGCAACAATTCCCAAGCACAAGTATGCGAAAGGATTTAAAAGCGGGTATTCAAAACATGACTAGCACGAAAATTTATGTGAAATCTGATATTCCAATCTCAGTAATAGCGCATGACTTTTGTGATGGAATTGGAGACAGCCTCAGTGGTTTGTAAAAACTAGAAACTTACGTTTGGTGGTCACTTGTGGAACAACGTGTCTGAAAATCTCTTCGTTATTGCTATTAGAATTAGGCATTTGTTGTTAAAATAAACATACCTAACTGTTAAAAGAAAATTTTTGGAAATGTGGAACAGAACCGAATAAAAATAGCTTTTTTCAATTTTCTGGACACATTCACCTAAAGTGTAAAAAAAATTAGCAGTGCTCCACTTTACTTACTTCTTGTCCTTATTACTGGCAGCGTTCTAGCTCACGCAGCTTTGTAACACTTCAGTTACTTCATTTTTCTGCTTATTTGTTGGTGTGCTCGCATAATTTGTAATTGTCAAAGGAACTTCGAACTATGCAAACTTTTACAGTTTGGCCAACAACGCTTGCCTCACGCCGATTCGCTTTCTCAATTCCTGCTGCAGCATCAGATGGACTCGAGCTTCTATATTTCTTCTCTATGCACAGTGCCGTTGTAAACTACACAATAATTTCTAATGATAACAAAATCTCTGAAACCAAAGAAATTCAAGTGTGTTACTAATACTTCATTCCTTACTAATCAAAAGCATTGAATAATTTACAACTCTATGAAATTTAAAAATTGTTTGTATAAGTGGATTCATTAAAATAACTACAGGGAGGTCTTATGGCGGATGATGTTGTCTACGCAATAAGTCCGGGGGATGTTTCAGTGTATGTTGAGACGTCAGAACCAATTCATATCATTGCTGCAGTAACTCGTCTCCCAATACAAAATTTGCCAAACAAAGTAGATTTCGGTTGCTTTATGCCACTTCCAGTGACTAATACAGGTTTTTGCTTAAAATTTGCTATTTTTCAAACAGCACATTTCTTTTTATTACTGGCTTTACAGCAGACGTCAAAAACAGTCAGTTTTTGCTCAAATTTTTACAGTTGCTATTTCTAGATTTCACCAGATTTTATTTGCCACTTATACTAAAATTGATTAACTCCGGCTTCTTGTTGGATTGTTTTCGAAGAGAGAAGATATAATCTAGTTTCAATATTTCACAATACAGCTGTCTTTTAAGTGAACTTCGTTTAAATCAATAGCGTTTTAGGTTTCTAAAAGTAGTAATGCAAACCAGCCTATTGCTACTTAACTTGTCAGTTGTCAATCTTTCTTGATGACTACTGCTTTCAGTGTTGGAAAAGTTCTTTGAAAAGAAAATAAAGAAAACATTGCTGTATAAAAGCTTTTTAAAACACAGTAAATTGTTTTTGAATTTGTAAAACCTTTCCGTATTTATTTGCATCATTTCCATTGACGCAGGGGTTCCTCGAGAGAATTTCATTTAAATCTGAGTGAGAGCAATTTATTCAGTGTGCTTAAATTTAGCGTGTAGCAGAAACACAGGAAAGGAAGAATTAAGGGAATGGGGTCAAAAAGAAAGTGGAGGAAACGATGTACACGTTACGGATCTCGATGCTGGAAATTACTACACTTTTACTCCACCTCACTACTCATGCGCTCTATTCAATATAACAATTTATAATTCGAGTTCTGAAATAAATTCTCAACCTGTTCTGCCTGAAGATGTGCAAAACCCAATAAATTTTGAGAAATCCGAAATGGGAGAAGTAGCGATTTTTGAGTCGAGGTAAAAACTACAGAATAAGTCGTGTGAAATTTCATCTTGTTGAAAAAAATTACACATTTTTCTAGATGTAACTCAAAGT